TCGAGAGCGTTAACTTTCTTGTGTCGCGATAAACGGGCCTCGCCGTAAATCTCGGGCCACGTGCCGATGCACGCCGCGAGCGCGTGAACCGCGTGCGCCCGCGCGCCGATCACCGTCCTCGTGCCCGCCGTGCCTCGGGCGTCCGGGTTGCCTCGGGTAAGTATTTTGACTTGTAATTTCCAACGGGGAGACGGAATCGAACGATAGTCGCGCCCTGTATAACGCCAACGCGACGCGAGTGCAGATCCTCGGCCTCGTGCCCGAGGGGACTATTTGAGTGCCGCGGAGTAATCCCGCCAGGCGTACCGCCGTTCCACCGCGAAGCATCGCGCGATTTCTTAAAGAGAGTCGTTCGATTCTCGTCCTCCCGGTCCGCTATCCGACACACACCCGCGTCGCTTATCTCACCCGCGATCGTCTGTAATTAGTACGGGCATCCTGGCGTGGCGTTAGTCCGCCAAGGATCGGCGCCGGAATACGCGCTCCGTCCCGCGCGTCTCGCGAGTACCACGCGAGGTACTCGCCGCTGTAATTCACTCGCCCTGCGAGACCATCGAAAATACACGTCTCTTATTTCATATTAATTTCCGGAGCAATTATTTTTCCTCCTTGTCGCTCTCCTAAGCCTCGCAATTAACGAACCGCCCCTCTACCTTTGTCGGAGCTGGTTAGCCGGCCTTCCGCGCCGTCGTTGCTCGCCCGTCCGGACGTTCGCGAAGATCTAAGTCGCCTCGATCTACGGAGTTGTGCGTCGGAAATCGGAGATAGCTCGGATAGTATATAAATTTGGTTCGCTCACGCGGGCCTGGCGCCCAGATCCCGCTTACATCCGCGGAGACGATTACGATAACATCTGAATTACCTGTATCTCCGATCGGGACGCGAAACTCTGCTCGACCCGGACGTGCGAGCTCCCGACAACATTGCCTCGCACCTACGCGTGCGGTCGCAATATATAATGCGAATAAATATAACCGATCTCTAATCATAGGAAAAATCGCTCGCATATGAACAATAACATTCGTCACGCTATAAATGTAATGAAATACGGATCACCGAAAATGCAGAAGACCCGTAGACGACTCTCGGCAGAAGTTCCTTGCGCCGCCCGGCAGTGTGATGTGGAACCCTCTGTTCGATGCGAAATTCGTTATGGTGGCCGCGCAAGGGATCCTTGCGCTATCCGGTTGGAAATGGCGTTCCTCGTCTGACTCGTTGCTCAGCCATTAGGGCGTTGATCTCGCATGTGCGGGAGAGATGAAAAGAGAGCGTACGCCGCTGCTGCGAGGTAGCTCGGTTTTACTTCGCATTCCAATGCGAAGGCTAAAGATGAGTTCGTCGCTCA